AACCACTTTCTACTTATTATTCATGCTCGTAGGTTGTTTGTGATTAATTTTGAATTACAAGGAATTTATAAAATATTATTGAATTATGATGTGAGCTATGAAAGTATGTTGTTATTGAAATTGTCTTGTGAGACTTTTGTTGCAAAAGATATATGTTTACTATTATGATGATCTCAAGTATTATGAGTTAATTGAAAAATGGAAAATCCCAATTGATTTTTACATGTGATGATTGTTTATGAATGCAATATTTTGAGTGTTGATATATGAGGGGTGGTGGATGTTGATGATAGGTACTATAACAAAGAGGATATAAGGGGGTGAATTATGTACATTTGAGGATATAAGGTGGTAGGGCTATCAGGTGTACACTGATTGGTCATTTGGCCCAATTATTCATTATAGGGCATTGACACCCTACTAGTAGACTAGAGGGGGAACCCATGGTCCGGTCTTGTGCTCTGTGGATTTTGGCCGGTCCATATCACTTGATCGGTGAGCTTGTCTAATTACCAGTCACATGGATGAGGATTTAGCCCATGGGTTTAGTCAGAGGATATAAGGTGGGTGGATATAAGGGAGGTGAAAAGATTATTGATTGTACTTTTTACATGCTTTGACAATATGAAATTTGTTGGAATACTATGAATTTGCAATTGTCTCACTTGACACGTCACGAGCACTTACTTGTATACTTGATAAGTAGGATTGTTGGTTACTGAGACTTTTGTCTCACCCCGTTGATTTAACACTTTTCCAGGTGATAGTTCCCGTTCGGGTCAGCCAGGGAAGGCTCCGGAAGCTTGAGCTGCTATTGCAAAATTGTAGCGCTTCCACCCTTTTGATTGTGTTGGATAAATGTATATTGCCGTGATAGGGCCCATTCCACATACTTTGATATGTTTGAGATTGATTATTTTGACAGTGTACTTTTGAGAACTGTTACTGGACTGTATGTTGGTAGAAGGCCGGAAGCCTTTAGGCATTTGCATGTGATTTCTTTTGTTTGATATGAGTGGTGAATCCACAATGATCTTTGACATCAAATGACTTTTGATTTTGTTGAAAGTTATGAAAGGTACTATTTAGTAAAATCGTGTTATGGGCTTATGGTTGAAAATGATATTCTAGATTCATAATACCCAAAGCCCTATCCATTATGAATATCTTTTTGCACGCAGTTAATTTAGAAAAGTTCTTTTAACCATGATAGACATATTTATAGATTGGTTTAACTCTTTTTCTATCATGGTTAATCTCATATGATTTGGGATGTTTATATAACCATGATAGTATTTCTAAATGTTTTTACAAAGTTTCTCTTCTATCATGGTTAACTTTTCAATATTGATTAATTTATAAGTGTAGTAGTTTCGTTGTTACATCAATTACCTCAATTCTTTTTTTTTTTAAATTTTTTTCATATATATTAAATTTTTAAAAAATTAAATTATAAATTTTTATATATCAGATTCTTTTTATTCTTATACTTTATATAATTATATAATTAAATTAACCTCAAAAGTTGACATATAAACATATGTTCATTGTTAATAATGATTTTATTAGTATAAAAATGCTAAAACAATAAAGAAATGAGAAATCAAATTTAGAATTAAAATCTCTAACAAAATACAAAGTTATATATAAATTAAGTGAAAATAGTAAAACCTCTTCTTATTAAAATTAAAATAAAAATTGAAAAAAAATTTTAAAAAAAAAAAAGAAAAAATAAGCTAGTGAGCTAGCCCATGATGGGCTGCGGGCTGAAAAGGAACGCATCAAAATGGTTTTTATTTTTTTTCAAGCCAACCCACCATGTGGTTAGTTGAGCTCGCACGCTCAACTCATGCTACCAACTCTATTAGTTGCATTGAAAAACCTTTGTTGCTGCTGTGGGAAGCGATCGTTGTCGCCATGAGAACTCCATTTATCCAAAAATGTGGAGTATAAATTTTTCTCCGCTTTTTTTTTCTTTTAGCTTTGTTTGGTTTCAATGCCGAGTTCACTCAAATGATAGGATGGTTTTGTTGTTATCGATTTATTTACGCATGATTTCCATGTGCTTCCTCTTCCAATTCCTTTTAAAACTATGAAAATATGGGTTTACGCTTGCTCATCTCCGTTTTTTTTTTTTTTGGCATGTGTTTTAACGCGTGCAACTTTTTTGTTTTTGCCAGCCTTTTTTTTTTACCTGGGTTTTTGCCAGCCTTTAATGCGTGTGATTTGCATTACGCTCTTACCGGTTTTGACATAACATTAATGATCTCCATGCGCCGCCTCATTAAACATGTTAGCCACTCATATGTATTACTGCCCCCGGTCATTAATATAACATCTACTCAATTAATTTGAACAGATTAAAAAAGCTAGTGAAATTAATTATCTATAGCAATGTGTATTGGTTTTTTTAAAATATTATTTTAAATCATTTACATTGAAAATACCCTTTAATGCAAACTCCTTTAACATGTATAATTAATTATGATAGTTTATGAGAACAATAATAAATATGAGGACAAAATGAATTAAAGTTTCATATTTAAAACTAAATTCAATTCATAACTAATTTTTATATTAAAAACCGAATATTGTATTATGAAAGAGGTTAGAAGACAATGCAGCTACATCTCTTTTGTGGAAGCAACCACCTACAAAAGCATGTTAATGAGGAATTTACGTTGTTTGCCTATCTTTATTATTTGATCTTTTGATTTTATCTAAAAAAATTTAGTCCAGTTCTTTTTTCTTTAATGCAAATTCACGAGTCCTCATTTTACTTAGTTTACAGTTTGTGTGGAAATGGGAATGGGTTGCAGTGCCGGTGGCCACATCTTCCCCAAATTCCTACAATTTAAATTAGGTAAAAAAAACACAAAAATGACACTTAAACTTAAAAATCTCAAAATGATCATTTGAATAAGCAAAATCTCAATTTAAGTATAAGTAACCAATTTCGGATTTGCAAATTTGCTAAAATGATCATATTGCCCTTTATTTTCTTTATTGTTTTTAAAAAAACCAAATACCCTCACTGACCATCTGGTCGCCTGGGTTCCAGGGTCGACGGCTGCCGCCAGAGCTTAGGTGGCTGCTTTCACCAAAGCTCTGGCAGCTGGCAACTATTTTTTTTGAAAATTTTTATAACTTTAGTAACACAGTTAACAAGTTTTGTAATGCTAATAACAAGTTCAGTACAACAGTTAACAATAGGTGTTCCAGAAAATTCAAAAAGTAGCATTTTTATAACTTCAGTGTTGCCGTTAACAAGTTCTGTAGCTTTATTAACAAGTTCAGTATAGTATTTAACAACAGGTTTTCTGAAAAATTCAAAAAATGAAATTTTTACAATTTCATAGGAAGCTAATATTAAAAACATCAATTTTTATGAGAGTTGTTAATATCATTACATGACTTGTTAATTGCGCTACTAAAGTTGTAAAAATGCCACTTTTTGAATTTTCTAGAAAACCTGTTGTTAAATGCTATACTGAACTTGTTAATAAAGTTACAGAACTTGTTAACGGCAACACTGAAGTTATAAAAATGCTACTTTTTGAATTTTCTAAAAAACCTGTTATTAACTAATATACTGAACTTGTTAATAACATTACAAAACTTGTTAACTGTGTTATTGAAGTTGTAAAAATTTTTAAAAACATAGTCACCGACCACTGGAGCCTCCGGAGCTCCGGTGACAATGGCCACCTGAGCTCCATGCAACCGTCTGCTAGAGGTGGTGAAATAGGTTGGCCTATCGGTTACGTGCTAACTTGTCACAGGCTCAAAACCATGCGGGTCAATCCTCAAAGGACTGTCTCTTGGTGGGCTCACATTTTTCCAACCCCCCTCCAACTCCATCCTTTTTTTAAAAAAAAAATTTACACATATATTTAAATTTTTAAAATTAAATTATAAATTTTTATAAATTAAATTCTTCTTATTCTTATATTTTCATATAATTATATAATTAAATTAGTCTCAAAAGTTGAAATATAAATATATAATTCATTGTTAATAGTTGTTTTATTAGTATAAAAATAATAAAACAATAAACAAAATGAGAAATTAGATTTAGAATCACAGTCTCTAACAAAATGCAAAGTTATATGTAAATTAAGTGAAAATAATAAAACTTTTTCTTCTTAAAATGAAAATAAAAATTGTCAAAAAATTTTAAAAAATTAAAAAAAAGAGCTAACAGACAAGCCCGTGGTGGGTTGTAAGTTGGCTGGTACAAGTTGAAAAAAACCACATCAAAATAGTCCCTATTTTTTTTGACCCAACCCGATACCTTATGATGAGTTGGCAGGTTGAGCCCGCAAGCTTAACCCATATTACCAGCTCTAACGCTAGTGACTAGCGACTGACCGCCTAGTGAGAGTATTTGGTTTTTTAAAAACAATAAAAAAAAAAAAAGCAATATAATCATTTTAGCAAATTTACAAATCCCAAATTAGTTACTTAATCCTAAATTAAAATTTTGCTTACTCAAGTGAACATCTTGGAATTTCTAATATAAGTGTCATTTTTGTACCATTTTCCCTTTGAATTATGAGATTTAAATTAAGTTGAAGCACATTATTCACAAAGACACGATTAGATATTAGCTTCATCTTAAAAATTAGCAGATTCAACTTAGGAATTTATTGCTTATTCATCACAAAATTTTTACAATAAAATTGCACTCTTCAATAAACCAGGGCGGACTATTAGTTTTCAAATACAAGACATCCCATCCTCTTCAATATAGGCCTGAGGGGGAGAGTGAAGAAAGGATTGAAATATCTCAACCGAAAGAAGCAACTAAGCAACTACTCGAGCTTTACAAAGCCAATTCCAGTAATAGCAAGCCTCATCCCACAGCTATCACACCTTCCTCTTCGAGTGATTCATTACGGCCTATGCTTTGCGAGTCTCCCCTTACACAGGAGTTATTTATCAAAAGTTTTTAACCATTTAAAAACCACGTGTGATCGAAAAGACCCTTGGAGAAATTCAAAAACTTGAAACCTTTTCATAAATCCTCGGATTATTATAATAACTTGTACGCGCACAGCACCAAAACAAGTAAGGAAATACATATATAGAATAGCAAAACATTGCTTCAAACAGCCACCACCTTTATTACTCCGATCACTTTGTTCTTCCCCCTTTGAGGTGTTTGCTGCTAAGTTAGGATATGGAAGAATGGGGTGAGATTCGAGGGATTTTGGCAGCAAAACATGAACTCAATACATAATGTGAAATAATTATCAACCAAGCATGTAAACAGCCAATGTAAGAACAACCCCTTACAAGCATCAATTAACATGTACATCGTCATGGTGATGGTTTAAGTCTTCATGTCCAATATAAGAGGAGGTATATCATTAACACTAGTTTCTGATGAAGCGAGGGAGGCAAAATATTTCATTATGTCGATATTCTGGTACGACAAGGAAAGGCTCAGAAAAGAACACACGACAAGGGGTTAACTGGGGAAGCTTTTTTGTTCTTTTTCCATTTCTTTTAATGAAGATGATTAACCATTCATTAATCCTTCCTATTTCTCCCAAAATAGGATCCACCAATCCTGAAAGCTAGCATAAACATTGTATATAACAGCTGTCTTCTTACCACCTAAATAGCTAGGTCCAGAATAACAGTTGAAATGAGGGAAGAGGATCAATTATGGTAAAGATTATATTCGAGTTATAGAATTCATACAAGCATCTAACTTTCTTTTCCATAAATTTTCAAGGCCCAATGTGCCACAACGAATTTATCTTACGGTTGACTGACAATCTTTTCACTGCTTATTCAGCTGATAAAAATGCCTTAAGAAGCTCATGAGTCTCTTTATCATCTATATAGAAGTCACCATAAGAATAAAGATAAAGAAATTAAAGTTAAAAAAATAGAGCAAGGATAAAAGTAAATTAAGGTGCAACCTGTGGAACCTTGAGTCTAGCTCAGCTCGAATATTGGCAGTAAGTATCGCAATGGAACCATCATCATAGCACATGATAGCTGTACATCTAGACAGGATACCCTCTGGAGCATCCTTGGAGAACAACACATGAAGCTGATTTCGGTTGCAAAAGACACTCATCATTTTCCGATCTCGAGAAAAATCCAACAGATCTATCTGCAGATCGTCAAAAGCATGGAAATTGACAAAATAACGAATAGTAGATATGAGGTATTCTTTACGTCCATGATCTCCTTAAAGGTGTATGAGTACACTGCTATGTTGACAGAAGAACATTAATGAAACAGCAAAATTGACCAGCATGCTGAAGCATAACTTTAGCATAATATTGCCATAAAGAGGAGTCACAAAAAAATGTTAAAAATACCAACTTTTTCTGCCAGGACATGAAGTGTCACTTCAGTTGACATTCCAATTTTTTCGCACTTCCCTTTATCATCCTTATACTACAGGGTGGACTCATTGCAAAGGGCAGAACACATTGCTGTGTCAAGAAGACATGGCAATCGAGCCAGTACAAGAAGCTGTAAAACAATTGAATGCTACAAAGTTGCACCGCCAATACAAAAGGACTTAATGCCCATGCCAATATTGATTATATTATTATACAGTGGAAAAAAAGTTATGATGCTATATCCATTACTTGTCTGAAACAAAGGCCATCCAAGCCTTCTACTCATCATTTTAAATCTACGGCCATCAGTCTTTAAATTTCTGGCTCAAATCCACGTTTTCCCAAGTATTACATACTTGAACGTTTCAAAAAAAATGCTTTTTTCCAAAGCAGATAGTCATGATGCAAAACTTACAGAGTACAGAAGCATTAAATGTCTACGTAAAGGGAAAAAAATAACATCCTTAACTTAAAGGCCCCGTATAGTATGAACTATTGAAAATGAGAGATAGGCATTAGGATTGCACTTGAGAAAAATCATTAAAAAAGTCTTTAGTATGATTAGTTACTTTTACATGACATTAAGCAAACTCATGAAAGTAGGATTGGGGATTACCACTTCCTCCCATAGTATTCCCCAATCCCACATAGGTTTGTCTAATCTCATGTAATAAACAATCTCTCATGTTAAACACTATTTTCTCAATTTTAATCCCAATTCCAGTCCCTCATTTTCAATGCTTCGTACCAAATGGTACCAAAGTATCCTCAGATGCATAGATTTTAGGGATGGCCTCAGGGTCCCTTGATCCCTTTCCTTCAAATTAGCTAGTGAGATGTCTTTGAGAATTTAGGCGGGTGTTCTGCTCGTGCAAGAATGCTATAATCTGAAAATCATAAAAAATATCACCTGTATTCCCAAGTTGTCAAAGATTGTGCCTTCAGGTGCACATGTTTTTCCGCTAACATTGTATTCAGTAACCACAGGACTATGTTTTGCACAGTGAACCACACATATCTGTGCATACAGAGAATCATAAGGTGAAGGAATTCTCGGTGAAAGTTATTGGAATGGAAGTTCTGTCTATTTGTATAAAACCACGAACAGCCAACAGAAAGAATGGATTCATTCTCAAACCTGAGAGAGAGGCAAACTCTTCAAAGATGCAACATATAGGAAGAGTCGCCACTTGGCACTTACATACAATAAACAGTGTTAGGGAATCCAAAACTAAGAGAAAGAAAAGCCACATAATCAATCGTTCCCTAAGCTGTATGACTGGAGGGGAAAAAAACAAAGAAAGGAAATATCAGGAGGCAAGGTAAAATTGGTTGACTTGCGTTCATAAACTTCTGTAGGGTAATACAACCATTTTATATACAGAGCTATAACATGGATTGTCAATAAACTTACAACTATAGGGCTGCTTGCTTAGTTATCTTTTGTCTTCCCTGAACACGTTATAGAGATTGGCACTTTTGTACAAATAGACATTGAATTCAACAAATAATTGTTGCATACATGCATCAGGTTAAACATTAGGAGCACCAAACCATTTCAGATTTTTAGTATGGTAAAGAAGACAGCTAAACATTATAGCCAATCTTTTTGACACCATATTAACTCTATTTATAATACTTGGAAAGAATATAGGCGTTTAACATCAAATTTTTGCTGTCCCTAGGTTCTAAAAGTACTATGCTTTATGGGTTTGAAATAATCATCAAACTAGGCAGGTACGGCAATCCTACTACCACCAAGAATATGTAAATACATTGCAAGACACATTGTAAGAATAACGGATGATTTGGCGCCAACATATCTGACAAGCGCCAATCCTTTGCCAACGGTCTCGTCATGAACTTTACTCAGACTTCTTTTCGTGCAATCTGTTATCCTCCATAACAGAAACTCCATGAACGATCTAACCGTTTCGAATGTCACTCTCCCTGTCACATCAAGCATAAATTTTCGGTTCGCTGGTACTAATAGCGTTGATGAGATTTGTTCAAGCCAAGTATTATCCTGAACTCCGTTAATAGAGCTTCCAAGTCTAATTTGCTGAAAATATTCTTCTCGCTTCAAGCATCCGTCCTCTGTTGCAGCCGGATATTCATTCACATGAACAACTGAAGACGAGGACGAACATGGATTTGAATTTACACTTGGATTTGTCAATACTTCGTGAAATGTTCTAACAAATGTTTCCACAGCACCGTTACATAGAGAAACCAGAATGTCCCTGACCTTGTCCTGGTGCTTCGGATTGGTCAGTCCAGTGAAAAATTCATCATAAGTATTGACATCCATTGTTTTGTCAAGAAAAACGGCAACCGCAGTGCTTACAAAGATTTGTACGCAATCTCCTAGCACCTGTCTACATTTGTCATTGCAAATCACATTAAACCATGCAGGTACATCCGACGACTTCGACAAAGCCCCTTCATTGTAGTTATCGATCGATCCACCATTAGAGTAAAAGCCCGAAACCAGATTCCGCGCAAAGCTACCTACGACAACAGAGACAAAACCAGTTCCAGCCTTGGAGAAAAGTCTTTCCAATGCCCTATCTGAAAAGTTGGAAGTGGCCGAAGCCATCTCCGAGTTAGGATCATTTCTCTTGTGGGATTCATATCCACGCAGAATCCCAGCAAGTAATGCCTCTGTAACTCTAGACAATGATGCAGAGAACTCCTCCGACCTTGCAATTTTCGAAATTTGCTTCAAACTATTAGGAATTTCATTGGAATCAGAACTCAAGTATTCCTTCATGTCCCTGGAGACAATGCCAATCGTGTCAGCAGAATCGGAAACCATTTCAGCAAGAGAAATGAGGGCTCCCAAGAGCTTCATAAACCGTTTCCTCCTCCTCGAAACAGAGGGCAAGTGATAGACCCTGTAAGCTCCATAGCCGGAGGCCCCAAAAACAGCAAGTAAAATAAGCCAGTTCTTGTTTCGCCGAGAGAAATTTAAACCCTTCCTCAGCAACGGAAGGTCCATAGCAGGCGAAATGCCGCAACCGAAACCCTAGATTTTGCAAATTACGAGGACCGAAATTTCTAGGGATTGACGAGTGTTAAGCTCTGGACGTGGCAGCAGAGGGGATGAAAATATATAGGTGGATAAAGATGATCAAAGCCCAGAGAACATTTCTGGGAAACTCACCGAAACTAAAATCTTTAACTGCCGGCGTGAATCGATTGTTCTTCGTGCGACTCGAGCTGGTTGACGCATTTAATCCTTTCGCTGTCAATTGTCAATAGTTTATCAAAAGGAGGCAGTTAAGCGCAGGACGTTTCATTGGTGACTCAAGTCCTGCTGGGCATGATGAATGGATGTGATCATGCGAACGAATGACGTGTGGGGAGAGGCGGAGAAAATATTTTTGTTGAGTTTAAGTTTTCTAATTTATAGAAAACATTAGCTTTATATTTTGTGTCAAACATGATCTTCGATTTTTTTTTTTCCAGCCAAATAAACATAATCTTTGACTGATGTCATATTTTTGTGGGCATGAGGTAAATACTTTTCGTTAAAAGGATAATTACAAACTTACAAATTCTCACTTTCATGGTTCAGGCTACAAGTCATACTGCTTCCGTTATAAATACAAGTTATTTGTAAAGAAAAGTGTTCATCTTAAATGAGTCACTTGCAATACATTTAACACTCATCTTTAATTTAATATAGAACCTCATTAATTAATTTGAGTAGATTAATGATGTTAGTTAAATTAGTTGATATAGTTTTTTAAAACATCCTAATCTTCATTAATTTCCTTCATTCCTTTCCTAATTGATTATTGTAGAGGGAATATTAATAGGGTTAATTTTAAAAAAAAGTAATAAACATGTGAAATACTACCTCCAGTCCCAAATATAAGAGCTAGTTGATTAATTTGAGTAGATTAAAGAAATGAATTAAGTTAGTTATTTGTAATAAATATGTATTATCTTTCCTAAAATATCCTTGTTAATCAAGTTTGTTGGCTAGAACTACCATTATTACAAAGACTAAGTTGAAAAAAATACATAAATATGAGAGACAAAGTGGATCAGGATCTTATATTTAAAATCAAAATAAAAGTCAAATGAGATCTTATATTAAGGATCGAAGATAATATGTACTACCTCCGGTCCTAATCATAAGAGCTAGTTGACTAATTTCAGGAGATTAAGAAAATAAGTTAAGTTAATTATTTGTAATAAATAAGTATTATCTTTTTTAAAATATTCTTGTTAATTAAGTTTATTGGCTAGAACTTTATTATTAGAAGGATTACCTTAGGAAAAAATGCACAAATATAGGAAATAAAGTAGATTGGGGTCTTATAATTGGGACCAAAATAAAAGTCAAACAATGTCTTATATTAAGGATCGAAGGTAGTATGTATTATATAGAGAACCAATATCAACTTTCAAAGTAGGTCCTATATTAAAGATTAGAAGAGTACTTGTTTTTTTAATTTTACCCTTATTTAATCTTAGTAGAATGAAAAAAAGAAAAAAGAAAAAAGAGATATGAGAATAATTTGTATGTAGAAAGGGAAAAATCTTTAAGAAGGATGAAATTAAAAAAATTTGTCAATTCAATATATTTTTTAGTATATAAGTTACAAGTTACTTATATTAATAATCATAATGATAGGTGGACAAGTGATTTTAAAGTGCGGGGAAAAAAAAAACGTTGTGCTTCTCAAAGCAAGAACAAACACTCCTCCCTGGTAGATGTTTGTTATGGGTCAGGGTCACAGCAGCTTGCATAGCAAAAGGAATGACTCATTTTGGGTCGCGCCAAAGAATGGGTTGTTGTGTTGACCACAAAAGTATAAAAAGTTTTTAATGGGTTGTTGGTTGGGTCCAGTTCTAGATTTAGGGGATGCCCCACGATGACGGTTTGTTAGTTAACACCTACTCATCTGGTTTTATTTACACGACAGGAAAAAAAATTTTTTTATCTTATTTATAGGGTATTAAAAAAATTTATATAGATATACAATTTTATCTTTCATTTATTATTGTGTTGACTTTGTTTATATAAAGTATATCTATATTAAATAGGGATAAAATTAGGAAAGTTATTAAATTTTAAATGAAAGTTAATGAAATTTTAAAGTTTTTTTTATTCTGTGTAAAACATATTGAAAATGATTTATAAATAAGACCAGAGGAGTAAGCATCAAGAGTTTAGATGATTTTAATTGAAAAAAATAAATTCAAATAATTTAAATTGTTTAAAACCTTTGTTCGTCGCTTTAATTATATGAAAACAATTTAATTATATTCAAAGTTGAGTTGTTTAAACATAATTTAAAAAATATTTTGATAAGCTAGACATGAAATAGTCAACACTCAAATTAATTTCAAAGAAATCAAGCCACTTGGATTGGCTTTTTAAAATAATCACAAATGCTAATCCATGAAACTTATGATATAATTTAAAAATATTTTTTAAGCTAACCAAGGGATGGTTGATTCATTTGTAATTTATCAGAACCAATGGTTTAACTTAGACAAATAATCTCTTTAGAGTAATCTATAGAAGCCTTTAAGTCAATTAAACAGTTGAAATATATTAAAGTAGCGTGTTTATTGCAAAAATTCCCAGTAAAAATGATAGTTGAACTTCAAAAACCCCCCACAAAAACATCTTGAATTTGAGAAATTCTGAATGAGTCATAATAACTAAGTTAGTTTGACAAAAATTAATTTGGATGATATATTGAAAAGTTAGTTTAAGAAGATTTAACTTTGAAGAAAAATCAAAATTCAGAAGTGCTTAAAAACTGTTTTAACTTTAAAGTGGTTTTTGGACAAAAAGTCATTTGCTTCCAAAACGTTACTAAACATTATTTTTTTTCCATCCCAATAGCATTTTTCGGTCCCAATGGACTTCCTAATGCTATTTCAAGCATGTACTCAATTGTCACACTCAAGCTTACTTGGCATTCAAGCCGCTCTTTGTGAAACTATCTTGAGGTTCTAAATATGCACGATTCCATGCCAAGCCTCCCACTCACACGCACTGGTGGATTTCACTGCATTTACTTTTATCCCTTTGGTTTGAACGAACTAATACGTATTCAAAGTGTGAAGAAGATTTTTAGGCTATAAGTAGAGTCAGACCCATTATATGAAGTACGCAAGTCTCAATTCTACGCAAACTACAGTTGAGAAGGATTACATCTCAATTCTGCTATTAGTCTGTTTAACTCTCTTAATACTGTAAGAAATGGCATGGGGTTGGTTTCATCCATAGGATGTAATGATACACTAACAAAGATTTACTGATGGAGACTAAATTAAAATTTTTTTAAAGCTATTAAAACTCGGGTTATTATTAACTTAAGTTTTAATAGGGCTCATATTGAGAATTGAATGAAACTTCATGGACCAACAAAGTAGTCTAACCCCAAAAGAAATGAAACCTTGGATGATCATAAAGAGAGTTTTTGTTTTTGGACAGAATAAGGCAATAGAGAATGGGAGACAAGAAGAAGAAGGATCAAATGTTTGTTCGGCTTGTTGCTGCTGCTGGGACTGGATTCTGCTACGTCAAGAGGAAACCCAGGACGTTTGGGTTTGGGTTATTGTTTCCTTTGAATTCAGATTGAGTGTGGGTTCTTGTTGTTGCCCCTGCTTGGGGGTTTCCACTTTTTGTTGCTTGAGTTTAAATTTAGATTTGAGAACTCCTTTCTCAATTTGTGTGTACATTGTGTTCCTCCATAATTATGTATCATCATCTAAGCGCACAAATTCTTTTCCTTTTATTTCCCCTTCATTAACTAGATCTTCTATTCCAACACTCAGTTAAAATATATTCAAATTTTTATGTTGTTTTGTGATGCGGCTTTCCCTTCTGCCATTATATACCTAGTAAAATATGTCAAGTGCTTAAACAGAAAGCGTATATACGATTAAGATTACTCTTACGTAGCTTCCCCATTGATTGTGCTTCAATATATTGATCTCATTGGCTTTGTTCTTTTCCCAATCATTTCCATTTTATGATTTGAATTTTGTGGAATCCTCATCACCCACTTTGGAGAAGCTCTGTTAGGACATTAATTTGGAGGTCTAGATCTGGTTTTACAATTCTGATATCTACCGAATGCTTAAACCCCAATTTTTTTTTTCAGATACTAGGGGTGTTCAGAATCACGGTTTTAAAAATGATTTTACATATTTCAAAATAAATATATAAAAAAATTTTGTTTCAATATATAAACACTGTAAATTAAGTTTGCTTTTGTAAAGCTTTTGTTAAGGGTGTTTATAGGAGCTCCCACACACCTTCTTAAAGTAGAAGATTGCTTTTGTAAAGCTTTTTCGTAAATTAAGTTTTTCTCATGTCATTTTAAAAATCAAATAGCCAAACATACATCAATGTAATCATAGCCCCACCTCCAGTGGTAATTGCCTGAGTTTTTACTGATATGGCAATGCCCATACACAGTACGTAAATCAATAAATAATTGGGAGCATCTCCATTAAAGACTAACTTAGTTAGCAAGATAAATGAAATTACTTTAAATTTCAGCAAATAAATAATCCCTTTTACGGAAGAAAAGTTTTCCTATTCTTGGCAAAAGAAACTGTCCTGCCGCACTTGGCCTGTGGTTTGGGAGAATTTCACCCAAAAACAAAAGGCTTAAAATTATGAAGTGAGTGTTTAGGAACCTTCAAAGCATTTAAATAAACAGAAATGCTTTCATATAAATTAAGAAAAAAATTTCTTTTATATGCTTATCTCAAACATTGTAAAATCACTTTCTGAAAACTAATATAGACCCTTTCTAAAATTCCAAATAAATTTTTTTTACCAAAATATGTAGTTATTTGCAAATTATGCATTACTAAAACCAATTAAAATGTGAGAATCAAATTTGATTTAAAATTGGAAAAATTACCCAAAAAGAATACGAATATTGTGAAATTTCAATTTAGACACCTAACACTTTAAAATCTTAGGAGAGGAAGTAATACCTGATCTGATATTTTACAAATATAATTAAATAACTAAAATATTTTTATTTTTAAAAATTTTATTAACAAGTTATGAACTAATAATTACCAGTGTTATATAGCAAATAATAAGAAATTTATTAGCAATTACAATAATATTTTAGTCATTTAATTATATTTACAAAATATCAAATTATGCACCACTTTTTCTCATAAAATTTTGAAGTGATAGGTGTCTGAATTAGGATTTTATAATTTTCTGTTTTTGTCTTTTTTTCCCTTTAAAATTTAGTAATCTCAAATTTTTTTTATGGAATGCTGGTAAAAAAAAACTCAACAAAAAATGAATCAAAGAAGACTGATTCATTCACTGAGGCGCTCATGTGGTGTGCCTCATCTATTGGGCTGTCTCCTGCACCATCGCCTCCTTGCTTTATTCTTAAATCCCAACCTCTTGTTACGTGGCAACAACTTAAGGTATGTTTGGATTAACGTTGGACAAAATTGACTTCTAACCCAACTAACTTTTATAACTGAAGTTAGAGTAAAAGTCAGTTAGTGTAATGTAATTTATGTTTGGATAGATGCTTTTAAAAAGTCAGTTGAAAAAGTTAAAAGTTGTTTGAATGATTAATAGAAAAGTTAGTTTAGTTGTAAAATAACTGAAAAGGATATGGAGTAGTGTTTGAAATTTTATATTTTTAATGTGATAATAATTTAAAGAAACACGTTAAATTATTATGATAAAATATAAATAGTTTATTTGTAAAATTATAAAATAAAAATATTTGTTACGGAGAAAAATTTGAAAATATATTGTAGATAATTAATTAAATATACATAATGAACAAACATGAATATAAATTAAAATTTATTTGGTCTCTAATTAAAGTAAATAGAATCACATAACTAATTAGATCATAAGCTTTGCACAATTTTTCCATAAGTTAGTTAGAAAAGTTGATCCAGATTGCGTTTGGATAAGTCAGTTAGAAAAGTTACTTTTTTTCATAAATCAGTTAGAAACGAAGCTCAATCCAAATAGTCTTCTGAGTTGCAATAAGCCACAAACCTCAGTTTCATGCTTTCCCATATGCTTTTGGCATGGCAATCCAAACGAGCCCTTAAAGTGTTGCTGTCTGCTTCCAAGTGGAGTCTTGGGGTGACTACAATAGTGCCTAAAACATCTGATCACTCCAGCCCCGTTTAAACTTGAACTTCACGTCACATCACATCACCGAGGAACGTTTCAGTTTCAATTTCAATTTCCATCGATCACTCTGCTTGGCCTCAGCTCCTAGTCTCGTGCCCCCAAAAAAGAACAAAATTGAATTAAAAAAATGTCATGGTTCGCTCACTCTCTGGCAAACTCTCTCCGAATCGAACTCGACAGCGACGACGACGACGACGAAGCCGATGAATACGATGATGAAGAAATCGACGTCGAACCTGGTCGTTCTCATGTCTCGCCAACTCATTCGCCCGGAAACCATCAACGTTATCATCAACGACAACCGCACCAAACGCAAGACGATGAATTTGAATCAGATAATGATGCGCAACTTCGAGGAGTCAAAGAGGACCTTGACGAATTGAAGCAAACCCTAACTCGCCAATTCTGGGGAGTGGCTTCTTTCCTAGCTCCGCCGCCAACAAACTCCCACCCTCCTTCTAAACAGACGTTTTCTGATCCCGCGGCATTAACCGGGAATCAATCGGAGCCATCTGATCAGTGTGCTTCTGGAAGTGGTGGAGGAATTGATGTGCACGATGGCGTTGGAATTTCCTGCATTGGGCGTGGAGAAATTGAAGGTCGATTCCGTAATGAAGTTCCAGGAGTTTCGTTTACGGCTTCGGATTTGAGTTCGCATGGCCCGGAGTATGTTGAGAATGGGGAATTTGAAATGGATGAGCCTGATCTTAAACAAGCAATTGGAATTACAGAGGAGGTGTTGACCTTCGCGAGAAATATAGCGATGCATCCTGAGACGTGGTTGGATTTCCCTATTGACGAGGAAGAAGACACGGCTGGTGAGTCTGCTTCACTATCAAAATCTCTCTCTCTCCCTTTGTTGTGAGAACGAGTTTTTTCCATTGAAATTCCTGCTGCTATTTGAGTTGTTAGTTGTTAATTTTAGGAGCTTCCATTGAAATTCTTGGTGCCTTTTGAGTTGTTAACTATTCCTTTTTCGACATTAGCTCGGTTTTATTGCCGTCTCTGGAAATGCCTCGCAAACTTATTTTGTCCCCGAGATGTGGTTTTCTATTATGGCAATTATCTGCCTCTCACGGGGTTCTGAGTTCTGCATGGAAGTGTATGTGACCTGATTTGATTACGCATAATGTTTTGCTGGGATGAACTTGAATCCCAAAAAAATAATCCGGTTGACAGTAATTAACAAATTTGAGATACTGTAAACAAATGTTGAAAAATCTGTGGAGTTATGAAATCACATCATTTACTCTTTTGTTATCCGTTATGCATATCAATTGCATGATCATTTTGGCTGTCTGTCACAACTCATGCTACCGAATGACTTGCAGATTTTGACATGTCTGATGCTCAGCAGGAGCATGCTTTTGTCATAGAAAGACTTGCTCCACGGTTAGCTGCACTCAGAATTGAACTGTGTCCTTGCCATATGAGTGAAGGTTACTTTTGGAAAGTCTATTTTGTACTTTTGCATTCTAGACTTAATAAACAAGATGCTGGAGTCTTGTCTACTTCTCAGGTAAATTACTATGGGTCTTTTGATCTTTTCTGCTCCATTTATGTTGACCTTTTTGACGCCATATGTGACAACCTATTGGAAGATTCCATTAGTGAGGTCAATTTAAGATGCATTGATTAGGTATTTTGTTCCCATTTAGTTATTTGGGCCTTTCGAGCCAGAGTGAATGTTGTGGTGTATTTCTTAGATGGAATATGCTCATTATCTGTCTGTAGGATTTTAGTCTTAAATTTTGTCACTTGAAATATGATCATTATCTATCTGTAGGATTTTAATGTTAAATTTTGTTAGTTTAATTTCGCAATATAAGATAGGAGGACCAGTAATTGCTAAGCCTGGGAACAGTCTTACAAAGTGCTAATAATTCATTTAGATAATGAAACAGAAGAGTTAATGGAATTAGAAATTTAGACTACTGTTTCAACAATTCCTTTGGTTGATGTACGTAGTGCTCACCTTTGTTAGACTTAACTTTTGAATGCAATTCGAAGTTCTTGTCCCTGGTGTAGCATTACATCTTTCTTGAATTTCGGGATTCTTGATGGGTGTTTTTGTTTGTCCATTGTTATTGAAAAAAATAAAATAAAATAAGCGCACAGCCATGTCAGGCAGAAGATTAATGGAGGTTTCTATGCAATGCTTCACCCAATCATCTTTTTTTTTTTTTTTCTATGATGAGTTTCCTTCAATTTGAACATTTTGATGTGTTTGCTCCATTTTTGTAGACCCTTACCTCTATTGTTCTCGGCTTGACTGCAACTCGTCTTTCAAAAGGAAATGTGAATGCTCATTGGAACACTTCATTTAATTTAATAATTTTTCCTTGCATGTTCTCTGGCTGTCATAGTTGTTTCAGTCAAAAGTACCTATGGTGGTTCTGGCTTTAGTTTGTCTTTATTATTATTATTTTAGAGTTGGTTAACTCAAAGCAGGCATCAAATGGTAATTGTGTTTTAGGATTAGACGTTCATGACTAAATTGATAAGTATGAAAATATAGAAGAACAGGTTTATATGAGAGGAGATTATTTGCAAAGACAATTATTTTAAGTTAAGCCCGGAAAGAGTTAGCTTCATGATAGTTTAGCTATGAAGGTTTGCTTTTTTCCAGAAGTTTAATGCAGTGTCTTGTGCCTAATGGTTAGTTCCATTCAGTGATCATCACGTAATAAATGCCTTAAAAAGTCACTTCTCAAAAGTTTGAGGCTTTAGTCAGTGGAGAGATTGTTGCAACATTGTTTGTTCTAATTTCTGCAGGTTATGACAGCCAGAGCAATGTGGATGCAGGAGTTGCAGAAGCAAACCAAGCCTGAATCTGAATGGTATGGTAGAAGCACATCCTGTGTAAGAGACATTGCTCCAGATGAGGATCTTCCTCCTAGCATATCTGATTATACCATATCTCATGTGACACGTGGATACGAACCAACCAGTTGGCCCACAGGAGTGGATTATGAGTCTGAGAAGCACACCATTGAAAGTTCTGAAACAGTTTTTACTGATAAGTCTGTCATTGAGGAAAAACCAATTGTTAAAACTGATGACAAGGGATTAACAAACGATAGATCTTCAAAAATTGCCGTTCCAAACTATGCTGATGGTGAGGATGAATGGCCAGAGGAAGATTCTGAATTGGAGGGAACCATCATCCCAATGGTGAATGAAGACATATCTTTCAGTGATCTCGAAGATGATGATTATGGCATAAAGCATGTTAAATCCAAAACAGATCCAAAGACAGTATGAAATTTCAATGCAAAATACATGTCTGTTGTGGAAGTGAGAACACTGCAGTGTCCCTGGTGTCGGGGGTTAAAAAGCTGGCAGTGGTGTTTTGGGCACTAAGACAAGGTCAGGGATATTCTGGTTTCACTATGTAATGATGTTGTAGAAACATTTGTTGGAACATCACACGAAATATTGACAAATCCAAGTGTAAATTCAAAACCACATTCGCCCTTGTCTTCAATTGTTCATATGAGTGAATATCCAACTGCAACATAAGGTGGATGTTTGAAGCCAGAAGCGTATTTTCGGCTAATTAGACATGGAAGCTTTATTAGCGGAGTTCAGGATAATACTTGGCTTGAACAGATCTCAACAATGCTGTTACCACCAGCGAACAGAAAATTTGTGTTTGATGTCACAGGGAGAGTGACATTGGAAACAGTTAAATCGTTCATGGAGTTTCTGTTATGGAGGATAACAGATTGCGTGAAAAGTTCATGATGAGACTTTTGGCAAAGGATTGGTACTTGTCAGATATGCTGGCGCCATCTTGCATTGTGTTTACACATTCTTGGTGGTGGTAAGATTGTGGTGCTTGCCTGGTTTGATGATTATTTCAAACTGATAAAGTGCAGTGCTTTTGGAATCTAAGGACAACAAAAATTGGATGTTAAACGCATATGTCCTTTCCAGGACTTCTAAATGGAGTTGCGCTTGGCAATAATGTTTAGCTGTCTCCTTTACCATACTGAAAATCTGAAATGGTTTGATTGGTGTTTGGTGCTCTTAATGTTTAACATGATGCATGCATGCAATATTTGTTGAATTCAATGTCTCAATTGTGCAAAAGTTAGGGTCAATCTTTAGAACGTATTGAGGGAAGTCAAAAGAACTAACCAAGCAGCTCTATAATTGTCATTTTATGGACAATCCATGTAGATCTATGTATAAAATGAATGTATTGCTCTACAACGGTTTATGAACTCAAGTCAACCAATTTTACCTTGCCTTGAAATATTTCCTTCTCCCTTCTCCTAAAGAAAACTCGGTTCTGATATCACGGTATCTTTCTTTCTTTCTTTGTTTTTCCCAACTCCAATCATACAACTTAGGGAATTAAAAATCCTTTGATTAGGGAGTGAATTAAAAATTGCTATAAATTATAAGCAGTAGACGATTAATTCGGGCAAAAACAGTTAAATCCCCCTAAAATATTGAATACTTAAAAGAGTACTAAATTTACAAAATACAGGACAAGTCCAAAGGCACATATTTGAGACTTTTAGAATTCGGTGAATTGACTTTATTAGGCCTCATGTTAAATAAAATGCAAAATTTGGTCCTACTACCTTTTGGTTCCAAAAATTACACAACCATTGAGTTATTAAAACTTCTTAATAATAATTTCACCAAAAAAAAGCTCCATAATAATATAACGCAAAATAATATATAAGTATCAAAATTTCGAGATATATATAATAATAATTTAAACAACTCCATGTATATCGATTTTCACAAAACAAGCTACTAGAGCAAGACTAACTAATGGCAAGTAATTTGTGCTGTACATTGATAAGTTCAAGTGGGGACTTACTTGAACTCATTCCCTATACTCATCACTGAATTGTTATTGTCATTTGTTAAGTGAATATTGTTACTGTATTAGCTACTCTTATAATCTTATAATTTATATGCAGGTTCTTGCTTAAACTTGTCATTCGCTAAGTTATTTTTATGATTTGTTAAGCGAAAATTGTTATTCACTTAGGTATTTTTGTTATTCATATCATATCTTTGCTTGAACTTGTTATCGGCTTGTTTTCGTCATCTATTAAGTACAAGTTGTCATTCACTTAGCTTGTGCTTGGATTGGTGGTGAAAATTGTGGCTTTTATTTTATTCCACTTTTGCAAACTTAAAATAGAGTAAAATTCAGTTGTCATACTAAAACTTATTTGAATCATTAATGAAAAAGTAGGTTTAGGTGTAAAATGATTTATAAAAAAACATGACTTTTATTAAATAATTATATATGTGTGTGTATTAAGATGGTGTGGTTGCTTTGTCCTTGTCCATAATGTAATGGTCTTATTAAAAAACAATCTGTGAAGGTAAACTTACAAGAAACTTGTACATTCTATTACGGAAAAAAAAGAAAAGAAAGAAAGACAGCTTGTAGTTGACCAAAACAAAAAAATAACTCAACTAATAAAATGAAAATTTACCACCTTCATTATACTTTCACTTTATTTATTTTAAATAAAGCCAGCGAACACATAACAAAACTCGACTAGAGGGGAGAAGACTTTGAGAACTCAGCCAAGGCACATCGCACGGGCACCGCTACTCAGTCACAGGGATAAGGGAGATTAGTCTTGTGAGGCACAAGAGAAAGAAGGAAGTCAGGAACAAAAGGATTGGAAAAAAATTTAAAAAGTATTAAATGCCCAATAACCGCAAATTTAAGTAGAAGTACCAACCGCAGAAACACCTCCGTTTTTGCTTAACGCTTCGAAGTCAGATTGGCTCCCAGGTTTTTTTTTTTTTTCAAAAAAATTTAAGCCAATCCAAATATGATGAAAAAGTGCTTGATTTAGCTCAAAAGTACTTTTAGAAAATGTTTTTCTCACATATTTCGTACGTTGTAAAATCATTTTTAAAATTATAAATTAATGTCTATCTAAACATCAAAAGAAAAAAAAAAAAAAAAGGCCAAAAGCAGCTTTTCCTGATGGGAATGTGACTTTTCTTTACTCTATCGTGATTCCAAATACATTTTTAATTGTTATGTAGTCTTTTATGTGCAAGTCATTGCTGGAACTTGTCAATGCATAATATAAATCACTAAGCTAAACTTAATCATTTAAATGAAAGTTGCTAGTCTCTTAGTTGTTTAACCATTTATATATCTAAAATATGATAGTTATCTTATATACTACTTCTGGTCCTAAATATAAGAGCTAGTTGACTAATTTATGTAGATTAAGAAAATAAATTAAATTGATCATTTGTCATAAATAGGTGTTGTCTTTCCTAAAATATCCTTGTTAATCAAATATATTAGTTAGAACTATCATTCTTAAAAAGATTACTTTGGAAAAAATGAATAAACATGAGAGATAAAGTGGATTGAGATCTTATATTTAGAACTAAAATAAAAGTTAAACAAAGTTTTATATTAAAGACTGTAAGTAGTATTAGTTTGCACAATAATTATTTTTTTTAAACTGAAAAATAATGGAGCCAAATTTCACTTTGACCACCTTTTGCCGGAAATTTTTTAGAGATGGGAGTTTTTTCTTTGCCACGTGAGGGATATTAGAGTCAATTTACCAAATTTTGAAATCCTAAATAAATAAGTGCTTCTAAGGGAGTGTTAAAAAAACTAAGAAAAATCAGTTTTACGCTTATCCAAACACCTATCAGTGTGTTTGGATCCCCGTTTCAATGAAAAAAGGTGCCTGGGACTATGTGAAACGCAAGTTTGAGGCTTATGTCCAGATTGACATTTCAACCAGCTTTTGGAGGAAAAGTTCAGTGAGGGACACGCTGGAAATTTCAGCTTTCTCTGTTTCTAACATGGAGAGAGAAACAATGAAGATAAAAAGAATGATCAGAGTATTTAAGTGAGTCATAGCTTAATCGAATAATATGATTTTTTTGGGGTAATAATTTAATTATTTTTCATTTGTTATTTCTCTTAAATATCAAATTATATACATGTGATGTACTATAATAGGTTTTTAATATAAGACCTAGTGGATTAATTTGAAAAGATTATGGAAGCTAAATAAATGACTTGATTATATAATATGTTACATGATCTTTCTAAAATATTTATATAAAATCACTAGATTATAAATAAATTTATAAGTCGGGTAAATTAGTTTGGAGAAAACAATACCCTTTTTAATCATTTTATATCTGAACTTACTTTTTTATTATTTATTTAAGTTTCAATTTATCAAACTGACTTTTATAAAAGTCAATCCAAATATAAATCACATTACACCAATTGACTTTTACCTTAACTTATGTTTGTAAAAATCAGATGGAATAAAACCTAGTTTTACTACCGTTAATCTTAACAAATCCTATATTTTTAGGAAATCAATTTTTCGGTTCAAACCATGGTTTGAGGCAAAAAACCAAGGTTTTCAAAAAAGTGAAAATTGTTTTCTTTTGGGATGTTAAAAGGAGGGCAACTGTATGTAGACAAAAATATCCTTTGGGTTTGATTAATTATATAACTAATAAATTGTTCTTACACATGTTTATTAAATTTTTGGAAAAATATCATGGGACTTCATACTTAAAATCTTTAAAGTAAAATAATCATTTTTCTAAAAGCATATTTAATCTTATATTTTATAAATATATATACACATAATAATTGAATAAAAATATAAATTAAAATCTATTTATTATATAATTATTATATTAATTTATATCTTTTTCTAGGAATTTGTACATGAAAAGGTACTTTTAATAACAATTATCCAATATTCTCATATTGTCAAAATCATTTTTCTTACAAAATCTATTTTTTCAAATTTTTTTTATCAAAAACAATTCTTTAAACCATAATTCGGTTTGATCGAAACACTCCTAAGCTTGTCCAGCATTTTGTAAATTTAGGGTCTTATTTGGGTTCTCCATTTTAGGGGTCTTTAACTGTCCTTCTCCACTTAATTTTAGGGAAAATTGCAAATAAAGACCCCTCAATATATAAAATAGCAATCAGAGACCCTGAATTTGAGAAATTGCTCACAAGGACCCGGTCCCAATTTGCAATTATGAAATCATGGCCAAATTACCAAAATACCCTCTGTTTTTCTCTCTTTCTTCCTCTCCAGATCATCTTCTTCCCGACCTTGCCTCCTCATTTTCCTCTCTCTCTTCATTCTCTCTTTCCTCTCCAAGTTTCCTTCCCTCTCCTCACTCTTTTCCCAAAGTATATAGAACTCACAATGTCTTCGGTGGTCCTCTCCTCATTGTCATCCCCCATCACTTTGTTCTTATCTTGCTTAGCTGCTCTTTTGTCGACAATGAAGCCTCTTCCATCATTCTCTCTGTTGCTGTGGAAGGAGAGGAGAGTCGGGAGTTTGAGGGAGAGTGACAGTCATTTGCAATGCTTGTAATGTTTGCTTGCAATGTGTGCGGTGATTGCTTGGTGCTGAGATAACGCCCAATAAATCTGGATTTTTATTCTTCATTTCTATTTTGATTTTCAGCTTGTGTTCGTAATTGAAAATAACGAGTTTGATAAGTTGTTGAAAATAACAAGTTGACAAGTTCTGATACCCACTTCACGACAAGTTCAGTAATGCGAATAACAAGTTTAGCAAGGCGAATAACAACTTCTGATAAGCAATTCATAGAAATTCGAGTTTCTCTGTTAAAATGACAGCATTTTCAGATTTCTTTAGCAGATGACAAGTTCTGATACACAATTCATGACAAGTTCAGTAAGGCGAATGACAAGTTTAGTAAGGCGAATGACAACTTCTGATAAGCAATTCATAGAAATTTGAGTTTCTGTGTTAAAATGACAGGTTCCCAGTAGGTTTTCATACTTTTTCTGTTAAAATGACTGGATTTCCATATTGATTTATCAAATGACAGGTTTACAATAGAAAATGACAAGTTTTCATAAGATTTTTATGCTTTTTTTTTGCTGGAATTACAATTTGCACATTTCTGACAGCAACAACTTCTGATAAATACGAAATGACAAGTTTAGAATGAAAAATGACAAGTTAAGTATAGCAAATGACAAGTTCCCACAATGTTTTCATACTTTTTCATACTTTTTCTGTTGGAATTATAATTTGCACATTTCTAATAGCATCCACTTTTGATAAACATGAAATGACAAGTTCATAATGGAAAATGACAAGTTAAGTATGGCAAGTGACAAATTCCCATAATGTTTTCATACATTTTCATACTTTTTCTGCTGGGATTACAATTTCCACATTGCTGATAGCAATCACTTTTGATAAACAGTAAATGACAAGTCCACAATAGCGAATGACAAATTAAGTATGTAAAATGACAAGTTCCCATAACGTTTCCATACAATTGTAAATTTCTCTGTTAAAATAACAATGTGCAGATTTCTGACGGCAAACACTTATGATAAACAGTAAATTACGAGTCCATAATAACGAATGACAAGTTAAGTATGTAAAATGACAAGTTCTCATCACGTTTTCATACAAATGTAAATTTCTCTACTGAAATAACAATGTTCAGATTTCTGACAGCAAACACTTCTGATTAACATCTTTCATCATCAACTTCACCTCTCATTTCCTCCTAATGTATAAAACTATAGCACCAGAACTCTCATAAGCCCCTCAAGAAGCATGCTCATATCAACACCAGTGGCAAATGCACTACGATGATCATATCCACTCACAAGTGCATCCTCAACCATGAAATCCCAAATATAAATTGCCACATCATATGAACAAGAAACCATCAAATTCTACATATAAAACAAGAACTTTATTCGTTTAGCACTGTATTTAGGGCTCGTTTGTTCCTCACATACCACACCTTGATCGATTTTTCCACCGAAATACAATCATCATACTTGATTTCCACAATTTAGAGCTTGTTTGCAATTATCAGAAGTGGATGCTGTCAGAAATGTGCAAATTGTAATTATAGCAGAAAAGTATGAAAAAGTATGAAAACATTGTGGGAACTTGTCATTTGCTATACTTAACTTGTCATTTTTCATTCTAAACTTGTCATTTCGTATTTATCAGAAGTTGTTGCTGTCAGAAATGTGCAAATTGTAATTCCAGCAAAAAAAAGCATAAAAATCTTATGAAAACTTGTCATTTTCTATTGTAAACCTGTCATTTGATAAATCAATGTGGAAATCCAGTCATTTTAACAGAAAAAGTATGAAAACCTACTGGGAACCTGTCATTTTAACACAGAAACTCAAATTTCTATGAATTGCTTATCAGAAGTTGTCATTTGCCTTACTAAACTTGTCATTCGCCTTACTGAACTTGTCATGAATTGTGTATCAGAACTTGTCATCTGCTAAAGAAATCTGAAAATGCTGTCATTTTAACAGAGAAACTCGAATTTCTATGAATTGCTTATCAGAAGTTGTTATTCGCCTTGCTAAACTTGTTATTCGCATTACTGAACTTGTCGTGAAGTGGGTATCAGAACTTGTCAACTTGTTATTTTCAACAACTTATCAAACTCGTTATTTTCAATTACGAACACAAGCTGAAAATCAAAATAGAAATGAAGAATAAAAATCCAGATTTATTGGGCGTTATCTCAGCACCAAGCAATCACCGCACACATTGCAAGCAAACATTACAAGCATTGCAAATGACTGTCACTCTCCCTCAAACTCCCGACTCTCCTCTCCTTCCACAGCAACAGAGAGAATGATGGAAGAGGCTTCATTGTCGACAAAAGAGCAGCTAAGCAAGATAAGAACAAAGTGATGGGGGATGACAATGAGGAGAGGACCACCGAAGACATTGTGAGTTCTATATACTTTGGAAAAAGAGTGAGGAGAGGGAAGGAAACTTGGAGAGGAAAGAGAGAACGAAGAGAGAGAGGAAAATGAGGAGGCAAGGTCGGGAAGAAGATGATCTGGAGAGGAAGAAAGAGAGAAAAACAGAGGGTATTTGGTAATTTGGCCATGATTTCATAATTGCAAATTGGGACCGGGTCCTTGTGAGCAATTTCTCAAATTCAGGGTCTCTGATTGCTATTTTATATATTGAGGGGTCTTTATTTGCAATTTTCCCTTAATTTTATGCTAAAAAAATAAATAAAATTTTGAAACCAAATCGCAAGGAGCGAATATGCCAACGCCACAATATTGTTGTCCCGATTCCCAAGGCCACACTGGCTCTACTATCCACCCCAAATTTCTCATGTCGCAAATCAACGGCTCCTATTCCACCTTTCCGTCCAAGCAAACATCTAACGGCTCATGTTCATTCTCTCAGTCTCGCTGAACCCCCAAATACCAGGATGTCTCCAGCGCTCCTCCGCGAACCATTTCGCTGATTTTCTTTCATCTTCGCCTTTTCTCAAATCTCTCGAACCTTCTCGTTTCTTTCTCTCTCGGAAAAAACATGGTGAAAGGTCCAGGTTTCTACTCGGATATCGGCAAGAAAGCTCGAGGTCTCCGATTCTCTACCTTCATCTATTTTAGTTTCATCGTTTAGCTTTTTAGATTTATTTTCCAATATTATCGACATTTATTGCCCTCGTTGATATTGGAATTTTTTTTTTAATTCAGATCTTCTGTACAAGGATTACCAGAGCGACCACAAGTTCACTCTCACAACTTACACTGCTTCTGGAATCGTGAGAAGAAAATCTATATTTTATTGTTTTGTAATAGATATACATTTGTCTCTTACTTTCATCGCTGTCAGTTTTTATCGCAAGAAAAGGGAGAAAATTAAATAGCACAGTATTGAGGTTTGGAGTGTAATTTCTTTCTTTATCTCTGTGAGGCATTGTATCTGTCGCGCTTGGCAACTTGCTGACTGCTTTTCTTTGATATTAGTTATTGGATTAAGATATATTTCGCGAAATCGATAGTGCCTTTGTTTGCATTTTTCGATGTTGGAGTATGAAGAGGCGCTGATTGATTACGCGTTTGCAATATTTCTCATGCATTTCTTAATGATTCCTGAAGCTCTTCGAATATGATCATTTCTCTAATAATTGCTATGTAGTTAACCTGAGTTCAGGGTTCATTATTTAACCCAAGATGGATTTCGAGTGTGCTGATGGTTTGATTTCTACTTCCAGGCAATTACTTCAACTGGAACGAGAAAGGGTGAGGTATTTCTGGCAGATGTTAACACTCAGCTGAAGAGCAAGAACATCACAACCGATGTGAAAGTGGACACTAGCTCAAATGTGAGTCCATTTTAGGCTGGAATAGTATAGGCCCTTAATGCTTGATGCTGTATTTCATGTTTTTTGTTTTATAATTTTAGGAAATGGTTTTTTGGTCATTAGGGGGCTGTTTATATTCTGATCTAATGTTATCCTCTGTATTTTAATGATTACTATTATTGTGCATTGTTTAATCTTGGTAAAAAAATTCAATCATTTGATTTCTGGTGGAAGCATTTAGGTTTTAGCAAGGCACCTCTCGTGCTATGTATGATTGAATTTTCCTAAGTTGAGAAAGTCCTTAGAAACACAGACATGTTGTGAGTTGATCTTGTGTAGTTCTGTTAAATATTCTTTTCTATAATCTATATTTGGTGTTAGGAATCTTAGAATCTGTTGGAATTAACTTGAGTATTGAATTCACAGGTCTCATTGTGAAGCCATAAATATTTCTGGTAGATTATCCCCTTGCATAGTTGGGGTTTTGAATCCTGCTGTCTTTTCGCTGACTTGACTATTGCATTTTCAAGTTATGTGACAAATATACTGAACGAGGCAAATTAATTTTGTGTTAGATTTTATGCCTCACCAATTTAATATTAGGATCTCATTCTGTTGTAATTGAATTGACTATTGCACATACAAGCTTCATTTAACATAATTGACAGTCACTTGTGACGTACAATTTCATATTTTAGGTCCATACAACTATTACTGTGGATGAGCCCGCACCTGGACTCAAGGCAATTGTGAGGTTTATTGTTCCAGATCAGAGATCTGGCAAGGTACTGAATTCATTCTTTTAGTCCCTTCATGTAAATTTGATTTGATGCCTCAAGTCAACCTGTAAGTTGATGTACTTTATTTTGTGTTGTTTAAAAGGTGGAGCTCCAGTACCAACATGAGTACGCTGGTATCAGCACGAGCATCGGAATGACTACTAGTCCAATTGTGAACTTCTCTGGTGTAGTTGGAAATGATGCTCTCTCTATTGGAACAGATTTAGCCTATGATACTGCCTCTGGCAACTTCACCAAATATGATGCAGGGTTGAACTTTGTTCATTCTGATTTGATTGCATCTCTCACTCTGTAAGTATCTAAGGACTAAATTGCAGTAAGTCTACCAATCTTTAAGACACCATTTTTGTACATAAATCATTCTGACTTCTGTTGATAATTTGTAGGAACAACAAAGGAGACACTCTTAAGGCCTCCTACTACCACACCGTAAGTCCATTGACTAACACTGCTGTTGGTGCGGAGCTTTCTCACGTATTTTCAAACAACGAAAACACTTTTACAATTGGCACACAGCACGCTCTTGACCCGTTAACCTCAGTGAAAGCGCGGGTGAACAACTATGGCCTGGCCAGTGCTCTGATACAGCATGACTGGACTCCTAAAACCCGCTTTACCTTATCTGGTGAAGTGGACACTAGGGCAATCGACAAGAGTGCTAAAGTTGGTATAGCGCTGGCACTGAAGCCATAAATATGGCTGATTGTTGATTGAATGAAAGGCTTCACATTTTATGGTTGAGGGCAATAAGGGGTAGGATTTCACATTCCCATTGAACCTTTGGTTTTTTATTGTGGAGCTTATTTCTTCCTACACTGGTGGTCATGGATTGTAAAAACTAATTAGTTCGGACAAATTTTATTTTGTATTTACCATTCAAACCAAAAGACCTCTCCCCTTTTAAAAATCATTTTTTATAATCATGGAAATTCTTTGTGCTGCAATCGCAGTTGGTATTGAATCTATAGTATCACAACGTAGCGGAAACTAGAGCCTTGGAATGTCCGCGTATTGAAGAACATTGTTGAGCATCACTTCCAGCATCTTGTTGAACCTTTTATGCCAGTTCAGGTCCAATTTCTGTAGAAGCGGTTCCATTTGTTACCCTGGGTACAGTGCGGCCCCGCTTTTTGAATCAATAGAATTCCCACTCTGGTTCAATCTATGTATTTGTCCTTTGTAAATTCTAGCGCAAGGTCATGTTACTAATATGGAACGGGCGACTGAAGAAAAATGGAACTTGGGCAGCACACTATAATATTGTATGCTACCTCTCATCCGTTGAAAATTTAATTTTATTTTAAATATAAGATTTTAATCTATTTTATTTTTAGTATTTGTATATTTTATTTTCAAGTAATTTTTATGGTATTTACACATGTTAAGAAGGTACTATTGAGAGGTAATTTAAATGCATACATTAATAAGGATATTTTTAGGGAGAATTACAATTAACTTTCACAGAAGAGAAATACTTACTAAAAAGATATAATGACAATCTAAGCAGTTTGTAATGATAAGTTTTATAGTGGAGAGTGACAACTTTTGTGATTTGTTTGGTAATTTTTTTTTTCTATGGGACTTGATTGTAATTCTCTCATATTTTTAGACTAGATAACTTCTACTCCTCTGGTATTTAATATGCGATCGAAATAGGGAATTGATGTTGGTCTTATATTTAACTTATTTTACATGTTTATTGATTTTTTTAAAATTAATCATATTGATATTTTCTTAACAATAATCAAGTAAGAGAGGGAGGGAGAGAATTAAAGAAGTTGCTTAGGATGTTTAAAAAAAAAAATCATATTAACTAATTTAGCTAACATTCTTAATTTACTCAAATTAGTTAATTAGGTCTTATATTAAGTATCAGAAAAATATTTATTATAAATAAATAATTTAATTAATTTTCTTAACATTGTTATGAAGCAAAACCTTTTAGAAGTAGTACAAGAAACCTAACTATTCTTATAAAGCAAAAGCTTTCAGGAGTACTCACATGGGTCATATCGTACTATTCGATTGATATGAGGGAAAGGAAGATGAGAGAAAAAATTTTAACGAGTCTCATTTAAAAAATTGAAAAAATAAGGTTAAATTTTTTTTTAACTAATTTTGTTTACTCCTTTACTTTACATATTCCTTTCATCAAAATTTTATAATCTCATTTTTAAAAACTTTTTAAATCGAGTTCATTAAAATTTTTTTTTCCTCTTTCTCCCTTCCAATTCTCTTATATCAAGCATAGGGTTAGAGTAGATCTATAAATCATATTTTATACTACCTCCAATTCTAATTATAAGAGCTAGTTGACTAATTTGAGGAGATTAAACAAAGAAGTTAAGTTAGTTATTTGTAATAAATAAGTATTTTCTTTCCTAAAATATCCTTGCTAATCAAGTATATCAATCAGAACTACCATTATTAAAAAGACTATATTGAGAAAAATGTATAAATATAAGAGATAAAGTGGATTGAGGTCTTATATTTAGAACCAAAATAAAAGTTAAATAAAATCTTATATTAAGAACTGGAGGTAGTACATTGCAAATCCCTTTTCATTAAAGAGTATAAATAGAAGGATGCACGGATATTAATTTTCAAAATATATATGTATGTGTGGATATATTTTGTGAAGTTTTAAAATTATGCAACCGATTTTCTCAATGTTAAGTAAAGTAACAAAATCTTGTATAAAAAATAAAACAACAGTAATATTAATAATAAATAGAAATTAATTCTACTTTTAATATTTAATATAAGAGTTATATAACTAATTTGAGAATATTAGAAAAATCAGTTAAATTAATAATTTATCATTAAAGTGTTTCTTTGATTTGATCTTTTCCTGGTGAATGTATGAGGACATGTGGCTGTGCAATCATGTTTGATTGGGGAAAAAAAATGAGCAAAACATACTGCGAAAATCAATTTTGAATAGCTGGATTATGACATGAGATTGTACAAAATCGATTTTGATTTATCATAAATATATGGGAGAATTACGAAGAGGCCTAAGAAAAGAAAAAAAATTACAAAATAAATCCCAAAGTTTTTATTTTTCATTCTAGAGCTTGTCGTTACATGCTGCTTAGATTATTATTGGAACTTTTTAGTAATTTTTTTTTGGAGATTTGATTGTAATTCTCCTTAAATCTATTTGGCGGGACAAAATCGTTTTCCATAGAAGACAATTTAAATTTCAACTAGCGGAGGAAATAGCTTTCTCGATTTAATTAACTTTAAATTGGATAAATTATTTATCATGAGCAAAGTCTTGTTTATTAAACTCAGTCAAAATTTTTTTGTATTTTAAAATATATGATCAAAACAAAAAGTTTTTATAATACTACCTTCGGTTTTAATTATAAGACCTTGTTTATAGATTATAAACTGGATCTTATAATTAGGACCGAATGTAGTAATATGTTGTTTGCCCAATTTAAATTTCAATTGTGAATGTTATGTTGACTAGAAGTTGATATTCGAATTATACTCCATGAAAATATATTTCACCCTGAAAAAATTGATTTCAAGCTTTCTTTTGAAGAATCAAAATCGGCTTTACTTTATAAAATTAATCCCGTATTTTCTTATTTTAATATCAAGTTGTTAAACTTGATTTCCATAATCTTTGTGCTGTTTTTTTTTTTCATCAAACATGGCTGTACAACAAGTCTAAGGCTCCGTTTAGATTAGTAGTAGAAAAAATAACTTATTTGCAATGTGATTTTTAGAAAAGTGAGATTGGGTAAAAATTAGATTGTGTAATGTGATTTATGTTTGGAATGATTTTTATAAATAAGTTAGTTTGTGAAAGTAAGTTGTTTGGATTATGATTGAATAAGTAATTTTAGTTTGTCAAATTACAAAAATGAATATGACTTTTATTAAATAATAAAAATCTTATTCCATATGTTATTAAAAGAGTAAAATGTATAGGTTTTTTTTTTTGGTATGCATTTATATTAAGAAGTTCATATTACTCTATCCATCCCATGAAATGTTAGAAAAATTATTTAGATTTCTAATACAAACTCATATTAATTATTAGTAAGAATTTTAGCAATAAGATTACAAGATATAACATGATCAGAATATCTATATGGCAGATATAACAAAGTACTTAAGAAAATGACAAATTTGATGCTGAAATATACTAATACATTAAGATTCTAATTTTTCAACTATAAGGAAAAAAACTTTCCTTTAAAAAATTATTAATTTAATGGTGTTGGAATCAAATAATTAAAAGGTCCTATTCCTATTACCCAAAAAAGAGTCCCTGTTCCCATAAATTTCTTATCAATATATAAGAATTAGTATGCAATATTATATTATGCATTGTCAATTTTTGGCTCTTAGTATTTTCAAATTTGTTTATGTAAAACATTTTGTATAAATAAATACTATATAATGTCAAGTTTTCATGGTTTAAATTTTTTTCAAAATAATATTATTTTAAATTATAAAAAGTATTATAAATAAAAAGGAAATATAGAGAAGAATCATACAGAGGAAGAGGGGATCAACAAGAGAGAGTATTTCTCTTTCTATTCAAGGGGGTGCTTAATACAGTATACACGGCCTCTATTTATAGGCACGGCTTTACATCTTTGATAGAATCTACAGATATAATAATAAAAGGTAATTTCAGATAATGGGGATAATGGAAGATATTAAAGATACTGGGAGATAAAGGAGATAATGATAGATACCTGGACATCCATAAAGATATTATATTCATAACACTCCCCCTTGGATGTCCATAACTAAATATGTGCCTCATTAAAAAACTTCTACTAAGAAAACCCTATGGAACAAAACCTAGTAGAAGAAAAAGAGTGCAACATTTATTGATATAAATTTCATAGTGCTGCTTCGTTAAAAACCTTGCTAGGAAAACCCAATGGGAAAAACCATAGACAAGGAAAAAAGAGTACAGCATACATCTACTCCCCCTCTTGACAATGTCAGTTGATATCTCTGAGTCGGCGAAGCCCAATGTCATGAACAAGTCTCTCGAACGTGGTGGCTGGAAGTGATTTGGTGAATAAGTCTGCTAAATTTTCACTGGAACGAATTTGTTGGATATTGACTTCACCATCCTTTTGAAGGTCACGAGTGAAGAAGAATTTTGGGGAGATATGCTTTATTCTATCTCCTTTGATGTACCCTTCTTTTAGTTGGGTAATACATGCAGTATTATCTTCGTATAGTATTGTTGGGATAATTTTACCAGAAGACAAGCCACAAGTAGTTCGTATGTGATGTATTAAGGATCTTAACCATACACATTCCCGACTTGCTTCATGCATTGCTAGAATCTCCGCATGGTTAGATGATGTGGCTGATATAGTTTGTTTTATAGATCGTCATGAAATGGCTGTACCAACACATGTGAATAGATAGCCAGTTTGTGATTTACCGACATGTGGGTCAGACTGAAATCCAGCATCTGCATAGCCAACAAGATCGGTCTTGGATGCATTCGAATAAAATAATCCCATGTCCATTGTACCCTTAAGATAACGAAGGATGTGTTTAACTTTATTCCAATGCCTTCGTGTTGGTGAAGAACTATATCTTGCTAGTAAGTTGACTGCAAATGATATATCAGGTCGCGTATGATTAGCAAGATACATTAGTGCTCCAATTGCACTAAGATATGGTGCTTTTGGACCAAGTAGCACTTCATCACCTTTTTTCCTGATTTCTCGAGGTCTAAAAGGGTCCTTATCCACCTCCAAAAATCTTACAACCATTGGAGTACATAATAGATGTGATTTATCCATATAAAAACATTCTAGGATCTTTGTTTTATAAGTTTCTTAATATACAAAAATTCCATTTTTCAAATACTCAATTTTTAATCCAAGGCAAAATTTTGTTCTTCCTTGATCTTTCATTTCAAATTCTTTCTTTAGGCAATTCACTGCCTTTTTAAGCTCTTCAAGA